CCCCAAAACCAAACCCCAAGCAACCCCCCCAGCCCGGGGAGGGGGTGACACTTACCCGCTCCCAGTCCTGCGCCAGCCAATGTGAGGGGCAGTTCTTGTCCCCGCAGGGATGGATGGCCAGTGGCTTCGTCTCCAGGTTGCACTGCGACTCCGGCACCACCCGCCCGTCGCTGGTTTTGCAGTACACGTGCCGGATCATCCTGCCCTGCCCGCAGCCACCGCTGCACTGAAACCGCACCGGCCACGGCAGGCGGTCAGCGGTGGGGACGGCAGCTCCATCCCCATCCCTGTCCCCATCCTCAGCCCTGCAGCATCCCCGGGACAGGCTCCGAGATGCCTCCGTGGGGTTCAAGCAGCCTCCTCAACCTCACCTTTCCCAAATCACAGAGCGATCCTTGAGGATCAGCTTAAAAATAGCAACAGGGAAGCCCAGTGCATCCTTCCTCAAAGCATCCGACCCACCCCATGGTCCCATCACACTGGTGCCCAGCAAAACTCAGCATCTCTCGGGCCAGGCAGGAGGGGAAGCACCATGAGCATGGAACCCTGGGGTGGTTCCCACAGAGGTCAAGGCAAAGGGGACCGAGCAAGTGGGTACAAATATTCCACACACACCACAAAAGACCCTGAGTGGCTGGTGGAGGCAGCGGGGGCCCCCCAGCTCTTCTGTGGCCGCTCTTGCAGAGCCACACGGTGTTTCTCAGCGCCCCTGCTGCCATGGAAACTACTTATTTTTAGCTGATGCTAATGTATCAAAACCTGGGTAAAAATAGCTTGGGATGGAGGGGTTCTCTGTATCAGAACTGTGCAGGGGGGGGAAAGGGGGAAAAGAAAGGGGGGGAAAAAAGGGTAAAAGGTTCATTTTCAGGGCATGGAGCATCAGCATTGTGGAGGTACACCACGCAGCTGAAAGACAGGATGATTTGACACCCACTAAGGTCCTCTGGCAGGTGATGGATCCCCCTCCAGCACTCCGTGAGGGAGAAGCCCCAGGGACAACCTGCTGGGAAACCGTGGTTCCCACTGGGATGAGGGATCATCCCCAGCGCCGGAGCCCATCCGGCAGCTCATCCCTGCCCTGTGCAAGGAGGAGCCCTGTGAAAGAGGAGGGCTCAGTGCTCACAAACACCACCAAACCCTGGGCACAGGGGCGGGCTGGGGGTCCCAGGGTGACCGTGCTGGTGGGCAAGTCCTGGTGATGAGACAGAGACTGGGACTAGGAGGGCTGAAGGGCCTGAATCATTTCAAGATCAGCTCCAGGTGCGGGCTGCCTGTGGGTCCAGGAGCTACCAGGGAGGATGAGTCTGACCCCAAACCTCCCACCCCCGGAGACACAAACGAGCCTGCAAGCAGGGCCAGCTCCAATGTTGTGATGGCCACTTGGCTGGCCACCCCAGGGTCTCACCGGTCCCCAGTCGGAGACGGTCCATTGCCGGTCGCAGGGTGGTCCCGTGCAGTTCTTCTCAGCCAGGGGCCGGGCGCTGGCATCACAGAGCTTCTCCTCCTCCGAGCAGCGGATGTCCCGTGTCACCACGCTCCGCTCTCCACACCGGGCTGAGCACTGCCGGGAGGGGACAGGGGGAAGAACATCAGCAGGGGCTCCCGCTGCAATGGGAACTGGGAGCTGCTTTCTGGTTTGTTTGGGTTTTTTAACATATTTAACACAAAACTCTTAAAAACACACACTGGCAACTCGTAGGTGACTATAAAACAACCCATAGCCAAGCCACCCCTTTTCTCCACAACCTCTCAACACCTTCAGCAGCCAGGAAAAGGTGCAGGAGGGTTGTATCCTGCCCGGGTGCTGTGCAAACTCTCTGCTGGGTGATGCCAGAGGGTGAAAACCCAAAGCACCAAAAACGCCCCATCAGAGCTGAAAAGTTTTAGCTGTCACTTAGAGACGGGGTGAGATCTTCCTCACCTCCTTCCCAGGAACAGCCAGCTCCTTTCCACCTCTTTGGAGAGTGTTTTCCCCAAACCGCACAACTGAGATTTTTGTGCTGTGGATAAATTTGGCACCGTGCAGCCCCGTGACATTATTTAGAACTGGATTTGAGTTACTACAGTCTCACATACGCACATTTTGCTCCGTGCATAACGTAAAGCAGGGAAAAGTGTCAACAGCACAGCGCCCAGACACACCGCGCTGATACCTTAATCCTCAGATTCCTGAAATGTGCTTTTTTTTTATTTTTTAAAATGCCTATTTCCCCAGCCAACTTGGCACCCTCCTTCAGATGGGATCCAAATGAGATTAGCTTTGCTGCTGGCTAAGAACGAACTACTCCAGGACTGTCTCAAGCAATCTGTCCCTGACACATGCTGGAGGAGAATAAGGATTTCTGTAAAATAAGCCACTCTGCTTTGCTACGCCAGTCAAAATAACGTGCCAGCACGTGCGCAGGGAGCTCCTCGCTACCCAGCTGGGAAAGTCAAAACATCCTGCAACCCCCGGGAATGCACCAGCCCCTCCATCAGCTCCAGGGAAACGACTCAACCCCAGCTTGGAGAGGAAGAGAGACATTTAAATTATGACCAAGAAGCATTCGGGGAGCCTCCCAGGAGGAAGAGTCCAGTCCCTTGTGGTATAAATATCTTAGACTGAACATTAGGAAGGAATTTTTCACAGAAAGAGTGGTCGGGCATCGGAATAGGCTGCCCAGGGAGGGGGTTGAGTCACCATCTCTGGATGTATTTAAGGGACATTTAGATGGAGTACTGAGGGATATGGTGTAGGGGAGGATCTCTCCTGCAGGCTCCTGTCCTCTCTCAGTGGGCAACGCCAGCACCTTGCATGGGGTTAAAGACCACGAGTGACTGATGGCGGTGGCCTCCCCATCCTGGAGAGGACCCATTATTTAAGGGAAAGAATTACCAATACACATTGTCCACGTGCAACGACTGCAGCCAGTGTCCTAAAAGGCAGAATCCCTGATGGCTATGGATGAGCTTAAATCAAAAAAGGAATGGAGAAGCACAAGCACATGTGCTCACCCTCAGCACTGATGGGCCAGGAGCCCCGGGGACTTACCTCGGACCACTCCGACATCTCCCACTGGGGGCCACAGGCTGGGTTCTTGCAGACCTTGCGCTCATCCGGCCGGGTGATGTCAGCAGACTCACAAAGGTCGCTGTAGACGGAGCTGTCAAACCCCGGCGAGATCATCTTCCAGCAGCGGACGATGCGGAACTGGTAGCCCTCCCCACACGTGCGGGAGCACTCGCTCCAGCTGCTCGTCTCCCACCTGTGGGGACAAGACAGGTCATCACACCAAGCACGGCTGGACCAGGGCTGGAGCATCCCATGGGAACGGGTTGGACTAGATGATCTTGAAGGTCCCTTCCAACCTAGATGATTCTATGACTCAATGAAAGCCCTGCCTGCTCTCGGCTGGAGGGAGCTGGCTGCAATAGGAATGAGCTGCAGTCAGGCTGCCAGCGTGAGAGAGGTCTCCCTTTGGGATGGGATGTATCAACGTATGGTGGTTTCACCCAGCTCATGGCCATGGCAGTGGATGCTAAAACCAGTTTGCTAAAACCAGTTTGCTGAGAGAAAGGAGGAGCCGGTGTGGTGAGGCACAGAGTGGTTTGTCACTCGCCTGTGCCAGCACATTCCTCTGCCACGCTTTTTGCCCACACTCGACTCCTCTTTTTTGCTTCTCCAGGTAAAGGACAGAGAGGACACAACCATCCATCACCCTGCAAATCCCAGCAATAATGTCACACGAAGCTGTCTGAGCTCCGGTGGGACAGAGGTTCATGTACCACCATCAGTTTAATTCTGCAAACCTCATGCAATGGGCTGGAAGAGCTGGGATCTGCTCCAAGACACTGCCTGCCCCTTACTGTCCCCTGGCACTACTGTCCTGATGTTATAAGAGGGGAACAGCTTGTAAAACAAGGGAGAAGACATTAGAAGTCAAGATTTTTATAGTACAGTAACATCATGACAATTCTGAATTAAAGAATAAGCTAAAGATGTGAAAAAAAATCTAAATGGATCAGAATTCACAGCTCCTCTGCTGTCACATGGCTACCTCATGCATCCCCCGGGGCCACCCACTGCCACCACTCTCCGAGCAGGAGAGCCACGTCCCCCGGCTGCACGCTGGCCTCGTGTCCCACATGGGGCTCCAGGAGCAAGACGCAGCCGTAGGGAGATGTCACACCAAAAAATTGCAAAGTGCAAAATTCCTTTAGCACTTTCTGTTGGAAAAGAGTTGCCAGCCCCAGCAGCATCCCACCTACCCAAGAGCTAACAAACGTGCCCAGCTGCCCCCCTCAACTTCCCAGCAGCTCCTTGGTTTAACCCACCACCGAGCCACAGCCACCAGTAAATCACAGAGCAGCTCTTCTCTCTGACAGAAGAAGCCCAAGGAGCTGGAACAGCACAGCTACAAGGAGGGGCAGCTTGACAAAAGACCAGTGGGATAATCTAAGCATGAAAAGAGCCCTCACGCTTGTGCTAAAAAATTACAAAGTTAATGCAAATAGAGATTAAAGCCTCCAGGGTGTCTACGGGGCAGGTTTGTTCCCAGCAGTAGCACCATTCACCTCTCCACACTCTTCTCTCCTCAATTGCAGCCTGCTCTGGCTTTCAGCCTTAACGTGCCCAGTTCAATGAGATCCTACACGGCAAAGGGCACGTGCTCTCCTCCCCCATCCTCCTTCTCCTCCTCCACAATTACTGGAGGCGAAAGCGAGGACTCTCCAGGTGCCATACCTGGCATCACTCCAGCCTTGCTCTGTGCTGTTCACAAATGACACCGTTCCAGGGCAAGCACCAGAAAGCTTCGCTTCTCCCTTTGCCCTGTCCCTAGTCTGACACCATCACAGTCCTCCTCCCTTTGAGAGACACCCATCTCTCCTGCCCAGTTACTTGCAAACCCTCCAACAAGCACATCCCAGGTTACAAACCCGCAGCAGAGGTGCCCACACACCGTACAGCCCAGCCCAGGACTGGTCAGGCATTTTGGATAAAGAGCCTCATCAGAAGGGAAACCTTCTGAAGGACTTCCAGCGCGAGTTCGCCCCTGCACCACCTCCTGCCCTGATACCAGCAGATGATGTTTAGGACGCCCAAGGGACCAGAGGGTTGGACCCGTGGCGTGGTTTGCAAACCTGGCCCCACCACCACAGGTTCCTCCTCACACACAGGTTCCTCCAGGCACTGGTGGGGGCAGATATTACCTGTATCGTTAGACTGGACTTAAGGGGAGCCCCAGGGGCAAACTCTGCCAGGATTTATGGAAGTTTTAACCTGGCAGCATGAACTAAAGCACTTGGGAGGAAAGTCTCACCGAGTCCCAGTGCAACCCAAGCTGATGCAACTTGGGGAGGGGGGGGTTCCTACAAGCCTTCCCTGCTGCCCCCCTCCCCTCTGAACCCACATGGAGCCCCCTCCCCCTGTACATCCACGGCGGAGAAAGCACGGAGCCCCCCGGGAGCGCCCTGGCGAGGCGGTACCTTGGCTGGCACTCTCTCCCAGCACAGAACTCATGGACGGGCTCGGGACGGGTCATGGCATCACAGTACGTATCATCCACTTCGATCCCATCATAGCGAACACACATAGCATACGTGGACATCACTCCTAGTTTCAAAGAGAATACACACACACAACAGAGGAGGCTTGGTGATTTTGATATCCAAACTCTTTTTTTTCTTTTTTCTTTTCTTCATTTTTGGGGGTTTTTTTGAGCTGTGTTTTCCAAAACTTCCTGACCTGTGGACTTTCTGGCCCGTGGGATGGGTGCTGCTTGGAGTGAGGGACCGCAGTGGCCACCCAGCCCATGTGGGCAGCGCGGTTGAGTTTGGCCGGCTCCGAAGACGGGCACGGCCACCCCTGCCAGGGCTTGTCACCAAGATCAATATATGACTAACACGTTTTTTATAGGAAACGCTCGGGGCAAGGAGTCTGCTCGGCAGCTCCCTCCACCTCACAGCCATCAGCTCCCAGCCTCTTGAGCTCGTGGGTGGAGGCAACAGAAAATGGTCCCTGACCCACTCCATCCCCCCACTGTCTCTCTGTGCATCGCACCCCGTTTGTGTCTGGGTGTGCTCAGGGCCAAGGAAAGGCTCCTGGGGGGGCTTTGCAAGGAGGCACCTGCCCCTCCTGCTCCCCCACCACAAGCAGAGGCAGCCAGTGTCGTCAGACCGAGACCTTTTCCCCCCGCAGGCTGCCGTGCCAGAGTAAATGTTGTGAAGTCCATTCTGGGACCTGGCTGGGGACCAGGAGGCTGCTCTGGCTACAGGTAACAGGAATTGCAGCTCTCGGGAACATATGGTTTACATGAAACTAAAAAAAGATCTACAGCTCTTGACATGGTACGGCTTCTCTGCGATATGTCATTAAGAAAAGGCAATGAGAAAGGAGAAATTTAAGTAAAACCTCTCTCCGCTAGCTGCAAAGCAGGGCAGAGTAGCCTGGCCCTGTCAAGGGGGAAATTTGTTCAGAGGGAATCAAAGAAGTCAAAAATGTCCCAGAACACGTGGCTGGTGGGATCCCAGGGAGAGGGACGGCTTGAGAAGGTCCTGCTGTGGGCATGTGTCTGCTGGACAAGAACAAATACTCTGGCACACTTAAAAAAAAAAATAAAATCCTTGCATCTGCTCTTTTAAGAGAGGTCCTTTAGATTGCAGATCTCTCCCCCCCTTTTTCCCTTCTTTCTACTTCCAGAAGCACGGCAGGATCTGGATTATTTCATGGGCTGGGGAGGGGTGCAGGCGAGCGCATGACCCGCAGGCGTGCTTCATCTCCAGCCATGGGCTCGCAGGACCCCGAGCCAAGGGGTAAAGGAGGAGAGAGATCAGGTGGCTTGAAGCTTTTCCTGGGGGCAAAAAGGGGGAATTTCTGCAAAAACAACACAGGCTGGGTTTTGATATCCCTGGCATCTATGTCACTGTTCCAGATTTACACCCTCGCAGCCGAGACCAGGCTCCAGGGTAGAAGGAGTGGGAGAAACAAAACAAAATCAAAAAGCCAAATGCTATTTTGTTTCCTGCCAGAGCTGAACAATCTTCAAAATTTCACTCTGCGGGGAAGCAGCTGAGCTTTTCAAACTCCTCTGAACAGTCAAAAAGGGGAGGGAAGGGAAAAAAAAAAAAAAAAGGAGGCAATATGCTGAGACTCAGCACAGGTTTGGGGATCCTGCTGAGTCCCAGCATGTCCCTGCTGGTCTGGGAAGTGAAGGCAACATTCAGAGCTCCCCCAAGGAAGGGTGTTTTGCAGGATGATGGACACACCAGGCACTAATTCTCGGTCCCCAATGCACCCACAAGGCTGGTGGGCTTAACACGCTCTCGCCCCCAGCTCCTCTCCCCACATTCACACCCCGGTGGAATAGATTCGGGGTCGTGCTAAACCAGCTCCAGAGATCGTGAGATCCCCTACACATCACCGGGTCCTTCCCATCCCTAACAGACAGAAAAGTGACTCACACACCAGGTGATTTCAGCGGTTGTGCAGAATTTGGCTGCTTCTTATAACTACCTGTGGTACATGTAGAGCTGCAGGGTTCATGGGAGGAAAGCTTCCACCTGTACATGTCAGCAGCACTCACACCTTGGCCCTTTCTTAACAACTTCAATCTGTTTCTAGCGATAGCAAAAAAAAAAAAAAAAAAAACAAACACAAAACAAAACAAAAAAAAAAGGCATTTACAAGGCGAGCGGTGATAGGCCACGTCAGACACACACATCTGCCAGCAGGCTGCAGTTCGGTTGGGTTCGGGTTTGGGAGGGGATTTGCTTTGTTTGGCGGTTGGGTTTGGTTTTTTCTGATTTGTTTGGGGTTTGTTTGTTTGTTTGAATCGGTTTGGTTTGTTTCACAACATACCTGTCCTGAGCCCCAAGTAGAATCCCCAGCCCGGTTAGAGGCAGAGCTTCCACTGTCTAGAAATAGAGAGAATGGGATAAAAATACCCACAAGTAGAAACAGTTCAGAATTTAACAAAAGTTTGCATTTTCTGCTCAAATACACCTGGCCCTCAGCATACAGTGACTAAAGGTGCAGTATCTCCTCCCCTGCATCTCCAAGGGCCGGGCACACTGACTCGTGCTACTCGATGCAGCAGAGCTTTCGGCTGCTCCAATCTCAGCAGCTCACTCCTTCCGAAAGCCTGCACGTGGCCCAGGAGTTTACGAGCTTGCTTCTCAAAGCACGCTCTGCTTTTAAACACCGAGGCATGCCATTTGCCTACCCGCTGCTTTTGCCACTCTCGTTTTGTTTTTGGTTTATTTGAGACAGGTAATTTGCATCTCTCGTATCCACGCTGTGCTCAAACACCTTAGTGCCATCGGGAAAGGAGTGACGGAGTCAGCCTGGTGTACGAAAAAGCATTTGTCAAAGCAGGAATAACAGCTTCTCCCAGTTCAGCGCATCCTACGTGCTGTAAGGTTGTAACACATCAGGGATACTGCACCTTTACAACAAAAGGCTTCAATTCTGTTCTCATACCTTTGTTCAAACCCTTGAAACAGCTACACTGAAATAGCGTACAAGGTTGTATCCTGACATCCAGTTGTCTCTGGCCTGGCGAGATATGCAGCGTGTATGATTTCTAGGCAGCAGAAGCTCTGAAATTGCCTTATTTAGTTGTTCGTTAAGAACAAGTTGAGGTCCAGTCTATCAAATCAACCTTTAAAAGGACACTGTTGAGAATCCAGCCATTTCCTTTCGGACCCACCCTCCTTCCACCGCCAGCACTGAGCCTCCAGAAGGATTAAAAACAACAACCACCTCATTTTCCCTGTTGATTTTGCACTGTCAGTTTGGCAAACGGTTGCTTCCTGCGTTGGAAATGGAACTGAAATGAATGTCACTATTTTTTTATTTTTTTTTTTTGTGGAGAAATAACAACCTCGGCTCACTATAAATAGTGCTTTATCTTGCCAAAACAGCTCTGCCTGGGGACCCGTATCAGCCCCTGGTCCCGGCTGCCGGGGGCGTGCTGCCTGCTGCCACCCAGCCGGGAGAGGGCTCACAAGATGACAGTTTTCAGTAAGATTGATTAAAACAGAGTCAACATTTGGGGTTTGTACTTCAATTTGCCTGGAAAACAGGGTATTACCTAGATCCTCTGCTCTATACCCTGCTCTCAGAGACACCGAAAACCCAGCAAGTTATCTTGTGACGGGGACTCCTCTCCCTTGAAAGGAGAAAATAAGCTGCAAAATAAACTTTATACTACCTCTGAGGACAGAAAATCTTTCAACAGTGTCCCTTTAATGTATGTGATCCTAAATAAAGAGCTTCTTCTATGTCTAACAAGGTTGCAGGGACAAGTTCTTTCCAGATAAATCAGACGTTTGGTCATAGGGCAGCATTCAGCTCTCTTACCATGTCAAGCAAAGACAAAACTGTCATTTTGTTCTCCTCTAAATGCAAACAGCAGCACATTGTCCTACAAAGCTGGTGAGATTTTCCTCTTCTATTTTTTTTCTCTTTATTATGAGCTTTATCATGAAGTCAAGTATTTTTCCCCTTGCCTGCACTTTGCTTCTGCTTTTCAAGCAAATAACTGCACCAGAAAGTACCACCCATCCCTCGCTCCCAGCTGAGACCTGGGCCACCCGTCTTCCCAAAACAGCCCCCACAGCAGAAGAATAATCCTAACAAGTGCACACAAACACCACGGATCAAAGTCCAGAGTCCCTGGGCTCACACTTCTGTGCTTTATTTCAGTTGTTATGGGTTATGCCTCCTGTGGCAGGATGGGCCCTGGCCGCACACCACAGCATGGGCACGGGATGAAGGATGGAGTGTGCCCGGATCTGCCCTGGAATGCCCCCAGAAGACTTTAGCTGCTCCAGGAGAGGAAAAGCAGCACTGGAGCCCTACCACTGCACAAGAGTCACCCGCCCATTCCTGTGCCAGCAGAGCTTGGTCCCAGAGTGGAAATATAACATGCCACACTGGTACAAGGTGCTCCTGTAACTGGATAACTCCATCCACACTAAGGGCTACAATGGTTTAGAAAGAAATAAAATGTCCCCCCTCTAACCGACACTGTCCTGGTGTACAGACTGGCTGGTCACAGTCTGCAAAGAGATGATCCTCCCTTGCTTGTTCATTGACAGGGAGTAAAAGCGAGTAAAAAGCCATCGTCCATCCCAAACTGAGCCTGGGAAGGACCTGGGAGGTCTCAAGTCCAAGCTCCTGCCCAGAACTAGGCTGATCCCAATAAGAGACTGGGTCCCACAGGGCCTTGCACAGCCCAATTTTGCCAGTCCCCAAGGATGGAGATCCCCCACCCTGCCCCACACCCAGGGCAAGAGGTTTGCCTTGTGCACCATTTCCTTCAGTACAGCTTCTGGCTGTCCCCTCCACCACCCTTCCTCCTGGAGGAACTTGTCTAATCCCCAACACTCTTCATGGGCCTCATGCTCCAGCAACACGCCAAACCCACAACCACATCCCACCATCAGTATGGGCTTCATCCTACTGCTCTGGGTACCAGCAGGAGCTTTAGAGCTGGGGCTCCTCATCCATCATTTACCCCCAGGAGATACAGACTAGTGATTGGTGTTAGGATTGCAACTGGGCTTGAAGAAGTGAATTAAAAGTTGGGGGAAATGATAAAGGCATGGGCAGAAACAGGTTGTCCCAACATGGTCCCTTCTGTCCCATCCCCTGGAAGCGAGGATCACCCATCCCTGCGGTGGTGGCAGAACAGCCAGACCCTGAGCCTGCAAAAATCCCCGTCTGTCCCTGCTCCACAAGTGCCCACACACACAGATGCTCTAATTGCTGATGAAATTATGGGACTTTCTGAACTGAGCAATGCCTCCATGCAGTAGGTGAAGCCTCTTGACATGAGGTTGCTTGTTGCCTATGCCCCCCATTTAATTTTTTTTCTAATAAAATGACACGTCTCCAAACAGCTTGGTTCCTGCACCCCAGCTGCCCCACATCTGCCTCCACTGGCCTTTCAGCCACCCCACACCACTCCACAGCAAGGGATGGAGCCAAAAAGGAGCTGAGCATCTCTTAGGTCGAGCTATAGTCCCAGCTGGGCCTGGATGCAGCCTTTTGGGGGTATCAAGATTTAGATCGGAAAGGTTCCTATTTTCTTCTAGAGAAAGTGGGGGGAAGAAGAGGGAACAAAACCAAGAGACAAATGAGGGTAAAAATGGCAGTGCTGAGTCTCCTTCCTGGTGGGATTTAAATCCCTGCCCTGTGCCTTCACTAGAGGAGCAGCCAGTGATGGTGCAAGGAGCTTTTTAGCACCACAAAAAGCTGCACTGGAGCCACTGTCAGTCTTTTGCACTTTATCTGTAACAGCCAAGCTTCTCCAGAACTAAAATCATGCGAAGGTTCCTTAATTCTCAGTAGGCAGGAAAGTGTTAGACCCCTTTAACAGCCACTGGGAGAGAGGTGTGGGTACAAGGTGCCAGCCAAGGCCACCCAGAGAGCGTGGTGGGGACCAGAGGAGCCCCAAGGAGGGGCAACCCCCTTCCTTGCCCCCACGGCCCAGAAGAGCTGCCGGCGCTGCCCTCGCCTGTCAGAGTGCTAATGAGATGCTTGCTTTGGCAGCTGGAAGCTGAGTTTCCAAGCCAAGCCACGAGAAGAGATGATAGACTCAAGCCCTTGGCCCTGTTTTAATGTTCTTATCATTAAGAAGTTTGTTGATACACTTGGCTGAACGAACATTTTCTTTAGCATAAGTTTCTTTAGCATAAGCTCGTATAAGTTCTGGATAAATACAGCTAACTATAACCAGAGAGCATCTGCTCAGTGCTTCACATCTCCTGAAACTCAGCATCAAAAGGCACTCACAGGTTTTACTGGTGGTGAAGACCGGAAAAGTCAAAGCAGCAGAGCTGCCACGGGCCCTGAACAAGCCATGAGGGTGCACCCCAAATCCACAGCTGTGGGTCTGGGACCTGGATGACTCCCACGACCCCAGTTTCAGCCCCAGCTATCTGCAGATAGCTTTAATTTGTGGCTGCTCCTCAGAGCACCCCAAGAGACCCTGACCAGACTTGTGGACAATAGCTATCCTGAGACTCCCTTTTCCCCCGGCCCATCCTTGCCCAGATGAATTCTGCTCCTAAAGACAGATTAAGCCTTTTTTTTTTACCTTCCCACTATGTTTTATAACACTACCACTCCAAACCAGACTCAAGGATTCAAGGAATCCTGAAGTGACAGCCCTAATATCAATCAAAGTCCTGCCACTGGAGAGCTTTTGATATCCCTGTCAAAGCAGTGACTAATTGCACTGCTTAGGCATCCATCCATCAAGGTATCAAACCCAAGCTATTTCTGCAGGCCCTCCAGAAGAGCTGCTGATGTCCCACTCTGCCTCTCCAGCAGTAGTTATGCAGGCAGGGCCATGCCTGGGAGCTGCTGGAAGCATGTTCCTGCCAACGCAAGTGAGGAGGATGGTGGGCGGCAGTCAATAGGGTGGGTATAAAGGGGCCAGGACCAACTTCTGCTGCATCAGAACTCAGGGGAAGGAGCCTGGGGAGTCAGAGCAGGGTGTCAAGAGAAGACAAAAGGAAGAGGCGTCTTTATGGCCACAGCTCTGGTAATGAGCTGTGACAGGCAGAGCAATGCACACGCTGGCAGCCGTCAGCATGGATTTGCCAACATCCCCAATAAGGAGAGCAGTGAGTTTTCCTCTTGCTTAAATGCTCTCTTGACTTTCTGCTTCCAAACCTCTGGCTCTTCCTTCCAAATTAATCCCCAACAGAAAGCTTTTCACATACAGCATCCTACCCCCACTTACCTTCTGACTTCCAAAGCAGATAGGAACCATGACATGGGGTCTACATTGACTACAGGGCTATTATGAGTCAATAATAGCAATAAATAGGATTGACTATAGTTAAAGACATGTCTCCTACCTTGCTTTGTGGGTTCTGTTCCCTTGAGGGCTGGTCATGGTGACAGTGGCATTTGAAAATGGCGTCTCCGCAGATGTGTTGATGGCTTTGCCATTGCTCAGCTCCATGTAGGTGCTATTAATGGTGTAGGTCACAACGCCATCAGTGTCCTCGTAGTCAACATAGAGACTGTCAATGTGTGACCCCACAGAGTTGATTGGGTCTCCCTGGGCAAAGATGCTGTTCATGGTCATGTTGAGCATCAACTCCTTGGAGTCCGAGGTCTTGTCCAGCAGCTTGTCTGTGATGGCGTTCTCCGAAAGGAATTCCCTGGAGGTGAACCTGGGGTCAAAGTCTCTGTCGTCACGGTCTGTCTGGTAAGTAGACCTGGTTACGTTTGAATCTAGATTGGAGCCAACAGGGGGAAACAACAATGACAACCACAAAATGCATTCAGGCCGGCAGGCGAAAGCAGGCCGGAGCAGCGGGGACACGCCGGAGCCTGAGCAGCCAGCCAGGAGGGTAGAGGCAGGAGATGGGGTCTTGGGGAGGGGAAATCTCATGGGGTTGTACCCCTTTGGGAAGACCGTGAAGCTCTGTGGGTCTCATCCTGCTACCGCGTGGCCAGAGGAGAGCTCAGCACCTGCCAGCACCACCCCAAGCAACAGCAGAGGTCAGGAGGGAAGATGGCCTCCTGGCCCCAGAGCCCATGCAGCCATGCTGGGAAAGCACTCAAGGCACTTTGGTGGTGGGACACTCAAGGGATTGGGGTGGGAGGGAGGTTGCTGGGGGCTGGGCAGAGCTGGGAGGTGATGGACAATGTTGTGACAGGGCCCTCTGTGCACCCAGGGCTCCCTCCTGTTCTTGGCATGAGGCAAAGCATGGCAGGGCACCAGCGGGGAGACCTTACCCATGGCCAACCCCCCCACCCTCCAGAAACCAGAACCTGAAGGGCAAAGAGGATTTATGAGCAGAGACATTTTAAAGAACTTTCCAAGGTTTCCAAAAAACAAACCAGCAGAATCATCAGAGGTAGAAACAGAGCGTTTCTCAACGAGAGCTCTGAGAAGCAGAACAGTGAGGCCCAAGTCTCCTTACCTTGGGGTTGTTTGCCCTTCAGTTTTGGCTCACAGTCAATTGTTTCTGCTCTTTCATAGACCTCATTGGTTTCCTGACCTTTGCTCAAGTTTAAATCTTCCTCCGTGTCCTGCCTTCCAAACACCTGGTTCTCCAAGTCTATCCTTTCCCTGGAGATTTTCCCAAAATAGGTTGCATTGTGCTGGATAAAACCCAATGGCACGTCTCCATCGAACTCTCGGCTTTCTTCGCTCTCTGACTCGGAGAAGGTGTAGTAGATGGGCTGCAGATTTGAGTGTGGCTTCCTCAGGAGGATGTACTCAAATGTGATGGATGGATTCTTGCCATTTTGATTCCAGACCTAGCAAACATATTAAATTATTAGTGGATGCAGTGAATATATGGCATGCAAAATTTGTGATTCAACTCGGAATTGACAGTTGGTGAGCATCTACTTTGCTATTTCCAATCTGCTTTCTGCTGTATTGCCAAGTTCTTACAACTGGAGCCCAGCACAATTTTCCAAGGGTTATTTATCCCCTGGGGATTAGCCCCAGCTCAGGTCACGCTCCCTCCTCTGCCACTGAGCCACCAGAGACTTGGGAGAGCCCCTTCAGAAGTTACCCACCATCACTTGCAATCCCATTTTTTGTGGCTTTACGAGGAACGTGCAGACACCCCTTCAGCTGCTGCATCCCTGCTGGGGACGGGGACTCATAACTGATGCACTACAACCTCTTACTGGTCTAACACTTCAGAAGCACCCAAACAACCATCCCTTCCCCTTCCAGAGGACACCAAGGCGACATGGAAGATGGCATGAATTGGGCTCTGGCTGGCTGCCCAGAAGAAAAATTAAATTACTTTACTTTGTATGTCTGGCTTTAGATGGTTTGCTTTCAAGAAAGGGTTGGGGTTTAAGTTCTGTGCACTTCTTTAAGCTATCTGACCCTATTTCTTATTTTTACTTTTCCTGCCAGGTGACATGGATAAAAATGCTGAGGAATAGAAGATAATTTCCCCCATAATGCCCAAGGCATCTTCTCCCTGAAGAGTGAGGGGTCACCAAGCCCACGTTCATTATTCACAGCCCTGCCTGCACTCGAGAGCACTGACACAAATAAAATAGGTTCATGCAAGGAATTGGGCTCAGTCACTGCTTCTGCTCCCCTCCTCAAGCTGCCCAGGAAAGCTGGGAAACCACGGGAGGACTCTGCTCCCATGCCCATCCCTTCCTCGATCCAACCTAGATTTTCCCTTCCCCATCATCCCCAGCCTTGCAAACTTGAAAAGCCAAAGCTCACCATTATATTCAACCCTTGATTTGTCGGTCCTTGTGCGACAATGTACTCTATGCCGGTCTCATAAACATCCATGGGCCTGCGGTACTTGAACACCGTGCCTGCAATGTTGAAGTTCTTTGGGCTGTCAACTTTGTAGTTCCCATTGAAGAAGTAGTAGCCAGCTTCATCAGCCACAGCTTCAAAGGAGAGAGGAAAATCAGTGCCGTCACATGTAAGATCAGAGCTATGCAATATTGCCATTTGTTCATTCATTAGAGTTGTCACAGTAATAAAACGAGTGTTTCTCCTACATGACAATGCATTTGTCACCTACTTCCAACAAGTATCATGCAATTATGAGTTCTGGGTCATGCGTCCCTCTACGTTGCAAGCTCCTGGGTATGTGGCTCATGCAAGCCCATGGCTCCTCTCCCCCTTTTGGCAGTAGCACAGCATGGACATTTAATAATCACAGCTCTGCAGGCCACAGGCAGGCTGTCAGATGGCCAATGGCAAGACTTGCCTCCTTGGGAGCACTGAGCCTCAGCAGTGGCCCAAGACAGGTCATCTAGAGCTAATTTGGAACTGCACTAAATCAAGCCTTTTTCATTCAAGCCCTCCTGCACATGGCCACCAGACCCTGAGGCAACATCAGAGCATGATGGCATCAATGTGCTCTTCTTGGGCAAGTCCAGATTTTTCCACACCCCTCCTGAGCAGCTCTGCCACCTCCATCACGAGATGGATGGCGTGGCCACCAACACTCCAGCGAGGCAACTGTGTAAGTCACATCTCCCTGGTGCTGTGGTCATGTGGCCATTGAACATTCCCCAAGCAGGAGAAGATCAAGGAGATCACAAGAGAGGTGAAGTCACCCTGGTCTCCGTGATCTGGCACCAGGAGGATTCGACGTAACCCATCAAAGCAGCAACAACATTGACCAACATTTTCTGCATTAAAGGAATGAAAATGTTGCTCTGTACAGCCCAGGTGCTCCGGCTGTGGAGAGGAGAAACGCGCTGGCTTAGGCAACGTGGTTGTGATTTACATTGACTATGGATTTAGCTCATGTCTGCAATAAAACTACATTCATACTCGCATTGGAAAAAGCATTAGCCAGCATAGGCATGCATCGCAGGGAAGTACCAAGAGGTTATACACACCCAGAACATCTGCAGATTTTTTCCGTTCCACTATCTGGATATCCCTCGCTCCAGCAGGAATGTGAGTTACCAGAGAATAGCCTATGGGAAACTACACATTAATGAAAGGAACTTTGTCACAAATAATCTGAATGAAACACTCAGCAGCCAATACTACAATATATCAAGCAAGCTGGCCTTGGTCCAAAATTATTTATAAGGAGTTACGGATTAAAAAAAAAAAAACAAAAAACAAAACTCTAATGTTGATAACTGCAAACAGGACTTTATTGATAATAGAAGATAAAATGTGAAAACTATGCATTCTGGTTGATGGTGGAAGAACACAGCCAAGGAGGAAAAGGATGCAATCTTTACATGCCCAAATAACAAATCTAGATAAACTGGTAGAAGAAAAGTTCTCTGCAGACTGCTTTGTCAGCTAGAGCAGCTGTCCTGTGGTTCAGTATGGAACCCTGTGCCAGCCAGTCTTCCCAAAACCTCAGCAAGAGACTACAGCTTGGTTCCCTCTTTCTTAGCAGTAAGTGATGGGACATGTCCTCCTAAAGCCACTGATGTTCCTGCAGCTTGCTCCATCATAAACCGATCCTCAGAGAGCATTAATCATTACTCCCAAGTCAGTCAAATCACTATACTTAGGACAAGCAGGCTCTGTTGCCTTACACCATACTAATTTTGGAAATTCTGATCTTTCAAAATACTCTTACATCCTGTTATTGCAAATCACTTATTTCTAGTCTCACCGGGTCATGAGAAATAAGACTAAAATAGACGCCAGCCTCTTGCATAACCCTTTTGCACCACCCAGCATCAGGGACCTCAGGCTTCTGACAAGCGCCATGCAAAGTTACTGGTTTTCTTTAAAAAAGGTTTTCCCTGCCCAAATTTACAAATGGCATTGACAGACACACAGATCATGTGGCAAAAACTGAAGCAGGGCAGTTGGTAAGAGCCTGAAAAGCAGTTTATCAAAAAATAAATACATTTTAAAAATAACCCTCTCATACAAATAAAGCAGAAGGTCCCCAAAAGCCTTACCAAGATGAGAATTTCCTTTCCGGTAGCTGCCGGTCACGTGAGTACAGCTGCTCCCATCTCCTTGGCAAACTCCACATTTATCCAAGGTGTGGGTGGAGAAGAGAATGCCATCGCACCCAATCGGCTACAAAATGCACAAATGGAGTATTGAGGGTCAGGCAAACGTCGCACCCATTGTAATTTTCTTAATACTACTGACAATATTTTTGCTATAATGTTTAACAACCTCACATTTTCCAGACACGCAAACCCCTCGGAAATCAGTGTATTTGCAGGATGTTCCATCCCGAGCCTGAACCATTAACTGTCTCTGACCATCCACAGTGGTGCAATGGAGGTCACAGGGCTTGCTAGAAATGTGAACATAGTCATCTGAGGGGAAAGGATATAGAGATACATTCAAAACAGCAGAAACACAATAACTTTCCATCCTACCAACGTCAACGCATCTCTGCCAAGCTAAACAAAGGCAGCAGCAGCACAGAGCTCAGAAGCCACCATCCCTTGTGTTTCAGGAGATGGCACTTCTGAGACCGTGCCAGCCCACTGCTGCAAACCCTGGCACAGCCTGGCTGTCCCCTGTGCTGCCAGGGATGGACACACCTCGTGGTGCCAGCTTATTGCCAACATCAGCCCAGGGGACGTGCCGAAGCCGTAACAGCCCCCGTTCTGTGCAAGGGCTTGCAGCAGTGACACGTGTAGACATCACACAAAAACATATGCATGCTCAACATTGAATACACGAGTTAAATCAATATAGATATACTGTTATAAATACATATATAAGGCTATATTCAAAACCACAGCAGCTTAAAACGTAAGAACTTTTCCATAAACATTCGCCCAAGCTGGGCTTAATTCACCCTTTCCTTTCCGCAGGCAACTGGCTGGCTGCATCCACTGGCACAGTAGTCCCACATTTTACAACATCCACAGGAAGCAAATGACAAATTCATATTTGGAGCAGAAACCCAACGCTAAGCGTTGCAATCTGCCCACCAGTGAGCGGTCATGTACCCACTGGCCTGCGCGCCCCAGCAAGGCAGCATCAATGTCAAAACATTATTCTGCAAATCCCCCAGGAGCCATGTGAACGCCTGCTAAAAAACAAAACAATTCACTGTAACTATTCTGGAAGAGCAAAGAACGTTTCAAGAAGTTGTCCCCTTGCCACAGGAAAGGGACAAAAGCAGCCAAGTAGCTCTAGTTAACCAGCCCGCCACAGGGGCCAAGTTCTACCACGCTGCCCCTGCCAAGAAGGCTGGCGAGATGGGGGTTCATTTCACATAAAAGGAGGCAACAAGTAGTTTCATGAAGTATAGATGTTCTTAGGTATGTACAGAGACACCTAAAGCAAGAAAGTTGCATTAGACCCCGTCTCTATTTCTAGACACCCCAATGTCACTGTGAATCTGAGGAACCAGTGCTCAGGAGCCTCCTCCTCAGGAGAAGAAGGGTCCTGGGTTCCCAATAGCTCTAAATATTGGCCAGGATTTCTGTTTAATGCTTGATTTCAGTGGGAGTTAGGGCAGCTAAAAATTACATAAAATCTCAGTCTCTCACTCCTAAGTTATCCCTGCAGTTCTGCATCGCTCCCCCCCAATGACCAAACCAACTGACTGCATCTCGGTGACATTTGACAGAGCCCATGAAGGGTGTGGGAGTGAACAAATGTCACCGAAACACAGCGCAGCCTGTAATGGCCCCAGCTCAAAGGACACTTGTTCGGGTGAGCTGGACTCTCCAGCACAGTCCATCACCCCGCATCCTCCTCCAGCCTTTCAGCTCTCTGGTCCTCAGGAGCTGCGACCAACCCAGGCTACAACCATAAATTCGTGTTGTTACTTTATTTTTAAGCTACCCTGCAGCTGCAAAACGCGCCTTTGAACTTGGGAGACAGCTGATTGTGTCTCTGAAAAATCACTTTAAACAGCAGAGGAGGAGCCTTCCTGCAGGCTATAGCATCATAACTATCAAAATATTTTGGCTAAGCATTATGAAACACACAAAGAATGTCTTGTTACCAGGATATAAAGGTTTCCATTGATATGTTCTGCCGTTATACACATGGGAGTTAAATGATGAACACTGCTCCTCTCGAAAGCTCCTTCCGTTCGCAGGGCACTCCTAGAATGGGATACATTAATATCCTGATGAAAACAAAATGTGGGAAAGGTTTCTGGCACATCTCGACCGGCTGCAAGGAGCGTTTCCATCGCCTGCCCCATCCAGAGCCACATCCTCCTCCTCCTCCCACCGCAGGGACAGCCAGGGGAAACCCCTCCCAGGGAGATGGTGCAAGAACCACCCACTGGGTTTTATAGCCCCCAGTGCAGGCAAAAGGCCCAAAGCCCCAACACAATGGTGATGGGCACCAAAGGAGGGAACTCCTGTTTCTTGGAGGGGCAACAGGGTGACAGCTACAGGACAAATGGTGTCCCCTCTCCAAGAGGCCCAGAAATGCCATTGCAGGAAGCAAGCATGACTTTCCACATTTTAAATCGAGTGTTCCTGATGAGAAAAAGGATATCCTTACTTGTACTTTGCAGAGCTGGTATCTTTTGGATGTTCCAGTGCAAGTTTTATTAGCCAGCCCACTCACTGACTTTCTTCTGAATAAAGAAATGATGGTTAGACAGGGGTCAGAAAGCCTTCTTTTCCCTTTTTTTAAATATATTTGTCCCTTGCTTCTGTAAGATCAGCCTCCATGCAGCAGAACCACACAGAGATCTGTCACAGCCCCACTGGAGCTGATAGCAAAGGTCTCTCTGGCTTTATTATCTGCAGCATCAACTACTCTTATTACAGCATCCCAGGAGGTACCATGGGGACAAGGTTTACAAGGTGCCTTCTGGCAACCACACAGCCTGGAGAAGGCAGAGCCACGCACAGAGCAGCAGGATCAGCGGGTCCCCAACCAACCCTGCCCCACAGTGTCCTCGCTGCTGTGCCCAGAAGCCTGGAGAAGGGGCTTACACAATGTCTGCTGGCCCACCTGCACTAATCCCCACAGGAGGCACCTCAGGGCCAGCAGAGGAATAGCTTGGCTGGTCCTCCAGGCACAGCATCCTCACGGCAGCACGCTCAGGGACATACTTACCTTCTGCACAAGCAGGGTTTGCCAGACAACACCTTTTTCACCAGTGCTCATCTACTGAGCGATGACCTTCCGGACCAAGTCTACCTCCAGCAAGCTGGAGCTGCCCGCAGCCTGGCAGGGGGGTGCCGTACCTCTGCCGCAGGCAGTGCCTCTCCTGGGACTTGACGCCTCCCCCGCAGGTCCTGGTGCACGCCGTCCACTTGGTCCACTCCCCCCACCAGTACGCCGTGACGTCTGCCCCTTCCTCCAGGCTGTTGGAGGTCTGCGCCAGGTCCTGCTCGGGGCATCGGGTGGTCAGAGCAGCACTCAGCATCCCCACCGCCCAGCATCCCCACCGCCCAAAACAGGCCATTTCCTTCTCCATCTGAGGTCAAATCTGAGCTTTCCATCTCGCAAGAAACCACGGATTTTTCCAATTGTGTTTTCATTACAAATGGGAATGAAATGGCAATATTTAGGATTCCTCAGGAAAGGAAATGTTCATTGTTTCGCTCAGTTGGCAAAACCGACCTCTTAAACAACCCCAAGCTCTCCAAGTCTTTTGGTGCTCTCTTGACTCCGGCTCCACCATGAATTTAAGGAGGTGAAGAGCTGGTTGCAGCCAAAAGCTTTATGTTTACTGGAAAAGGGATAATAATACTCCATGCAAAGTAAATGAAAGCTCCAAAGGCTGCAGGGACTGAGGAAGCAGTGCTCACCCAAGAGCATGGCCTTCCAGAGCCCTGAAAGTCATCTGAGAACCCTCTTAGCCACAGATGGGACAACTTAGGTTAAGCCCAAACTAAAGAGCCAAGCCAAGTCACACATCCTCGCATTTGCTGGAGAGCTGACTCATGCACAGACCAGCCCTGAAAGTCCCAGGGGTTACCCCCACCAGACACCCCACCATTTGGAAGCCCAGAGACCTCCCAGCAAGGAGACACACTTACCTGAGCGATCACAAAGGCGACGTTGCCCACAAGAAGAAGGGCCAGGGTGCCTTTCAGCTGGGACCGCACGCTGGTGGAGATGCTGCTCCACCTCCACTTAGATATCTTCATCCTGGAAAGCAACCAGACACCACACTAAGCAAAACCCCCATCCAGCCTTGGAGAGCAGGGGCTGTTTTGCAGCCTGGGTTACACAGCACATGTCTTCTTCAGCATCCCTGGTCAGCTAAGTGACACCAGCCACCAGTGGCTGCAAGGGCTCAATCCTGAAGTTAATATTTAATCAGTGGAAGCGTTAACACACTACAGGTTCACATCCCGTCTTGGCTGCTGTCTTCCAAACCACAACTTTGCACTGGTTCCCAGTACCAGTGTGAGCTGAGGCTCCAAGCCTGCCCTGGAAGAGAGCGGGGCTCACACAAGAGGCAGCAAGTAACAAGAAGGGTCCCTGGATCTATAAAAGCAGTGCATTTAAATATCCTCATTTACAGAGCTGCTCCTAGAAGAATGAGATGAAAGGCTTTCATTGACAAAAAAATGCAATTAACAGCCATTACTTTTTCCTTTTTTCATTTGTTCCACTCTAATTCCCACCGATTCCCAGGGAAGAAGCCTGTTCTTATAGAAAAGAAACCACCCAGCAGAAATGAAGTATCCCGAGTGTCAGCCTTTCATCTCTTTCTCCGTCTGCCTCATGAAAGAGAGTTACCCAGAATGGCATTTTCTTAAATAAAACCCAGCTCAAAACCACAATACGTTTTATTGTGAACCTCACTGCAAGAGCCAGAAAGGAGCAGGTTTCAGGAAATATTGCTTCCAGGCAATCAAAGCAGCTCATGTCTGTAAGAAAAAGAGAAAAAAAAAAAAAAAATTCTCCCCTAAGCTAATTTCCCTTGAAAAGTAACTAGACAGTATCTTTGGGAAGTAGGGAGGTGGGAGAGGGGGTGCTCCTGGGCAGAGGGGGCAGGACTGCAGACCTGCAACATAAAGAGCTTCTTTCCTACCCTTTTTTTTTCCTTTTTTCCTTCTTGCAAGGGTTTTTTTTGCGGCAGCTTTGGAAATGCAGAACCGCCGGCAGTGCCAGCATTGCTTTGCTATCTGCCTTAAGAGAAATTACCCAGGGGGCTTCCAGGTCCCCCAAATCCGCTTTGCGATCACCCCCGGGGGGTAGAGGTCCGGCATGCAAAAGAAAAGACAACTTTTCCAAGAGGCAGATCCATTGATTCATGGAAGCCCAGAGCGTTTGGCCGGGGATCCCGGGGACAGGTGGCTGAGACTTGCCTTACACTTGGTTTTCATTAAGGCTTCCAGACACTTCTGACTCAAAGCCAATAACCGAGCTCGCTCAGGGTTTAGCCTGGAGTCGGTCAGAGCTGCATGTTTAAATAGAAAAAAAAATTAAAGCAGCGGGGGAGGGATGTCGCCGACGAGCATCGCGGTACCGGAGGGAGACCCCCCCCCCCTCCCCGGGGCAGCCCGGGCGGCGGGAGGGCGATACCGGAGGAGGGAGAGAGGCGCCGGGCAGCGCCCCCGGGGCTGGGGGAAGCGGGGAAGGAGCCGGTGGGGGCTGGACCCCCCCCCTCGGGACCGGAGCCGTACCTGGATGCGGCGGGGCCGGGGGCTGGGG